TCTCTCTCTATATATATATATATGTATATATATGGAGAATGTAATAAGTATATTTATGTATATAATAATTATTATGAATATAAAGTGAAAGAATTTGGAGACATGCGCTGTTGTAATTAGACCATCACGTTTGCTGCATTTCTTGTATAGTTGGTTCGCCTTGGAGCACGCCGGTGAGATGAATTTTTCCTCTGCGAAAATATTAATGTAATCAATTAATGGGCATAGATTGCGTTAATTACTGATTAATTAATTTAATTAGTGATTTAACTTCTGGGTAAGAAAGGTTTGAATGATTATGAAGGTGATGACGATTCACGTGCCAGTTTTTTGGTATTTAATGTGGATGGTAATGCTCCGGAATGCAAATTTTTAGGAGGGACAAAATCTAAATATTCCTTATTTGTTGACTAAGTCATATGAGCTAAACTTGGAATTGCCGAGATATCGTTCTTTATAGGTTAGATGGTTGACTAAATTTTAGGTCAACTCAATGAATTAAATACGTTTAATTTAACACACCAAAATTAGAAAATATATCTTTTAAAATTTTATACAATATAATATTCAAGCAAAAGAGAAATGGCCCAAGATGGACAGTTGGAGAAGAACTAGAAAAGCTTTAAGCTGAGATGTTATTCATCACATCTTCAATAAACTGGCCCAATACAGCGTGTGAGGACCCACCATCCATCAAGGCCTTTCTGCTGATCTCACTCATCTCCTTCACCTTCTTCCTCGCATCGTTATCCTCCTCCATCAAACACCTAATCCCTTTCTCTATCACTTCCGCACTCACCCTCTCCTCCTGTAAGCCCAATATTGCATAATCCTTCCTGTAATCCATTTTGATTTCCACCGCCAGTCCCAGCTCCACCACCATGTGAAATGCATTGAATTGCTGCTCTGCGTACAGCGGCCATGCCGCCATCGGCACCCCAAACCACACGCTCTCCAGTATAGAGTTCCACCCGCAATGGGTAACAAATCCTCCGATCGACGGATGAGCGAGCACCGCCACTTGTGGGGCCCACCCCATGACCTTCCCCATTCCGACGGTTCGATCCACAAATCCTTCCGGTAAAACTTCCTCAAAGTTCTCGTACTCAGTGGGGAACGACATCGTTTTATCCTTGGGCGGAGGACGACGTAGGGACCACAGGAATCGATGGCCACTTCCCTCGAGAGCGCGTGCGATCTCCTTAACCTGCTCCTCATCGAAGCTTCCCAAGCTCCCGAAGCACAGGAACAAAACTGATGATGGGGGTTGATCGTCGAGCCACGTCATGATGTTAGAATATTTATGGGCCGTACACGTGTCTGAATCTTGACCGTCGCCCTTGAAATTGATTATGGGTCCAACGGTGTAGACAGGAGGGACAGTGCTATTACTGAGCGAGGTCACCGCATTGGATTCTATCTCAGCAAACGAGTTTACCATAATACCCTTTGTTTTTCTAAACCCTCTTGCTCCGTTCAGGACGTAAGGAAGCCAATCCTTGTTTAACATGGCGGAAGGCAAGATGGTCTTGGCCGGAAGTGGGTTAACCAAACCGGGTATGGGTAACATAACGTCCGAGTTCTTAAACTCAGTAATGTCGACCTCTTCTTCGTCGGCGAGGGTTTGGACATGGAATTGAAGCGCGAGAAAGGAAGTGCTCGACGTGAAAAACGGGTAGGAGGGCAGGCCAAGTTCATCTGCGACCTCGATCATGCCGACGCAGAACATGTCGATGACGAAACCAGCAAGACGATGAGAGGGGTCAAAAGAGAGAGCTAGATTGGTGACTGCTTCTTTGACGATAGGCTTGTTGTCATCAATGACAGACATAAAAGGCCTTTTGGGTTCCTCTTCTGAGTCCAACTCAGGGAGGTGGATGAAGCGGATGCGGTCATAGTCAGAAGAAGCAATTAAGGAGTTGATGTAGGTGGTGATAGAGGTGGTATATTGGGAACTAATGAGGAGAACTGTGATGGAGAGACGGTCGTCACGATGAACAAGGAGCTTGGCGATCTCCATGGTTGAGGCGATGTGGCTGAGGCTGGGCATGGGAATGAAGATGAGTTCTCCTGTCATATTGTGTTTCCAACTAGCAGGTATCCACTGGGCGTTGTAATTCTCTGTGTATAATACGGAATGTTAGTATATATGCTACTGTTGGGTTGAAGAAGATAAGGAAATTGTGGTGGTTGTTTGGCACGTAATAATATTTTGAAGTGTCTAAAGAAAACGATTGATCGGAGCGGATTTAGACTTGTCATGGAGCACCAATGAGAAACGTTATGGCTTTGCTTATCACTAATTGAGAAAGAATGTAAATAATTTATTGACAAGAAGAAAAATAAAAGTATCATAAATAAAATTTTGAAGATCAAACAAGAAAAAAAAGCAAAAGATGAAAATGAAAGAAACTAGCCGTGTAGAGAAACTAATGAGGCTAGTTAATGATAATAAAGAAAAATATAACACCTTCGATAAAATGATGGGAAAGAAATAGATAGGAAATAAAGCAATTGCATTTTTTAAAATTTATTTGTTTATCTAGCAGACAACCAATGAAAGGAAACCATGTTAAGCAAATGAAAAATAAGGCTACTCTTCAACTTTAATTTATAATAATTAAAGAAATTATTATAAATTATTGAAATCTCAAAAACTCAAATAAAATACGATCATTTAAATTGGACTCACTAAGATTGGCCTTTTGAGATGGAGATGTTGTCCATCACATCTTTGATGAATCGGCCCAATTTAACATGTGAAGATCCACCATCCATCATAGTCTTCCTACTACTTTCACTCACTATCTTCAATTTCTTCCTCTCCTCGTTATCTTTCTCCATCAAACACTTGATTCCTTTCTCTATAATTGCATTAGTCACAATCTTTTTTTTGCCTATAAGCACATCATTTCGATAATCCATTTTGATCTCCACTGCCAATATCTTCTCTACTACCATCTGAAATGCGTTGAATTGTTGCTCTGCAAACAATGGCCAAATTACCATTGGCACCCCAAACCAGATCCTCTCTAATATAAAGTTCTAACCACAATGAGATATAAACCCACCGATTGAAAGATGAGCTAGCACAGCCACTTGTGGGGCGCACCCTATGATTTTTTCGACCTTTGACGTTCGAGCAAGTAAACCTTTCGGTAGCACTTTTGTAACGGCCTCGGAAATTTAAATAAAATATATGTATTAAAAATCTCAAATGCGAAAGCGTAATAAAAATCTTGATTAACATCCATTACACAATAACCAAAACGTACTCAAAACATGAAAGAATAAACTAACTAAAAGAAATACTCGAAATAAGAACTATAAATATAGCTATGGAGTCTTTAGGCGTCCCTTTCGCCATCTTCCTGCGGAACGAGCTCGGGAACAATGTCTTCCTGATCTGAAATAGTTAAATAAGGAATGAGCTACACCAGCCCAGTAAAGACATCACACTATCTCACCGCCACGGAAGTAAAGGTGGGTAGAAAATAAAATGACCAATGGAGCATAATTTATAACAAATTCTTTTATCAATAATAAAATCATTTACTGTCCACTTACCTCAGCGAGATCCATGGAAACAACATATGAAAATAATAACCTTACAATATCATGAAATCATATACACTTTATAACACAACATATATCACACATTTACATTTCAATCATCAGAAAACAGATTTCCTCTTTTACCAGCCTACTAGTATCCCTGAGGATCCATAGGGGGTCCCCTCTACACGTGAACCATTAACATTTACAACCTGATTCCAGGGCCGTCCCCATACCCTGTTCAGTATGGGTGCCAAAACCATGAACCTCAATACCCCGTTCGGTATGAGGGTGAAACGGACCGTCCCCATACCCCGTCTGGTATGGGCGTCAAAACACATAAGGTCTCCATACCCCGTCCGGTATGAGAGAACACGTTCCCAGTAAGGTTCCCTACGGACCCGTTCCGTCCACCATCTCTCAG